GAACCTTTGCTTTCATGTCTGCTGTTGCTTTGTTGACTCTTCATTTTGTCGCTGCACCAGGAAATCTTTGCAAAGACTAATGCCAAGAATCTTTGTCCTTATATTTATTCCTATAGTTATACAGTGTCAGGTATAATGTTTAAATCCCTCATCCATTTTGAGTTTTGTGTGTATTATGTGAAATAATCAAGTTCCACACTCTAAAGGTAGACAGACAATGTTTCAAATACATCTTTTGAAGAAATTTCTGTCTGTGAGATCCTGGCATGCATGTGAAAATCAACTGCATGTTCATTTCTAGACTCACATTCCAGTGGTCAATGTGTCTGATTTTATGTCAATGTCATGCTGTTTTGATTACTGTATCTTCAATGTATATCTTGATGTCAGATAGTGTGATGGCTTCAGCTTTGTTCTTTTTGCTCAAAATTGCTGAAGGTGCCCGGAATCTTTAATGGTCCTTTGCAAATTTTAGGCTTCCTAGATCCAGTTCTGTGAAAAAGGATACTGGAATTTGATAAGGACTTCATTGAATCTATGGATCACTTTAATTTGTGTAAACATTGAAAAACTATTAATTATTCTAAGCAAAGAACACAGGGTATCTTTATATTGAATTATTTTCTTTGATTTCTTTTATCAGCACTTTATAGTTCTGATACATACATTCTTTAGCTGTTTGTTTAAAGTTATGCCTAATCATTAGATTTTGTTACGTATCTAAGTGGGGTTGTTTTCTTCAATTTTTTTTTTGTGGTGATCTATAATAACCTTCCTGGTCTTAGACTGCTGCTTTATATTTGGCAACTTCATTAAATTCATTTGTTAGTTCTGAAAATTTTTAGTGACATCTTTAGGGTTTTCTATTTGCAGGATCAGTGATGATTTCATTTGTCTTAGCAAGCTCTTGCTCTATCTCCAGAACTATGGAGAACGGGTGAAAATGGATATCCTTGTCTAGTGCCTTCTTCTAGAGGAAGAACCTTCAGTTTTTCAAAGTTTGCTAGGATGCTAGTTTGGAGCATGTTACCTCATCGTTATGCTGCAGTACATTCTTTCTGTGTCTGATTTGTCATGAATTTCCAGTGCTGGAGGAATGTTGGCTTTCAGGAGCTACTGGTGGTGGCAAACCCTGCAGTCCTGGTAGTGGGAGGCTGAAGCAGGAGGACAGCCTAGGCTGAATACGGGAAAGCCACATTTTAAAAGGAAAAATACGTTGCATTTATTTATTTATTCATTTATTTTGTTTTTTTGAGACAGGGTTTTGTATGTAGCTTTGGAGCCTGTCCTGGAACTCACTCTGTAGACCAGGCTGGCCTTGAACTCACAGAGATCTGCCTCCCTCTAACCCCCAAGTGCTGGGATTAAAGGCATTCACCACCACTGCCTGGCAATAATGAATTTTAAATTTTGTTTAATGCTTTTCCTTAAAATCTTGTGGTGATTTCATAGATTTTTCTTTATTTCTTCAATATAGTATATTTTAATATTTTTATAACTGTAGAACATAGTAGAACAATAGAACATAGTCAAATATTACCAATTTTAATTTCCTTCTTGAAACTATTAAAATATACTAAAATAAATTGTCATATGTTTAATTATTTTATCAACTTTCTTTTCATTACTGGTTGTTGAGGTGTTTAAGGTCTGGGATTTTAAAGGATGGGCAAAATTTATGTTATGAAATACAAGGTTTTTTTAAATTTGTTTTTTAACTTCACAGATGGAAAAGGTGGAAGCAGACCTAACTAGATCCAAGTCTCTTCGCGAGAAGCAGTCCAAGGAGTTTCTGTGGCAGCTAGAAGACGTCAAGCAGAGATATGAGCAGCAGGTCAGCGTTTCATTTTCAGGATACCAGTTAATTGTTGATAGGCATTTAACCCTCTTTTAATCATCTCTTCTTATCAGAGAAATTTCTGTAAATAAAAATACAACCACTAATGAGTGTAAAATATTTAATAAATTGTAATGAAACATAGACACAAAAGTTTTAATATTCTACTGAAGCCTATTTAGGTCGTTTATTATTCTGACTATTTAATTGTGAACTTTATTGTGGGTCTTGATTCCCTCTAGCCCTAGGATGACTTGCTCACTCATTTACAAGGTGGCACTGGGTCCCTGTCCTGTGTCTGCCTCTGCTAAGGGCACTAGGCGTTGTCAAGGAGGCGGGTCCCTTTGCTGATGAGCTCTAGATCTTGGTAGACAGTCAACACATGAATAAGAGTTGATGTGATTCTGAAAAGTGAGTAGAAAGGAGAGAAGGAGCATGCCCATAGACTTCGCCCATCTCAGGGCAGGAGCCTGATTACCAGCATGGCAGCATGAATATGTGGGTGATCAGAGAAGCCAGAATCCCTGCTGAGAAGCCTCAGAATACCACCGGGAATTTCCAGGTCTCTGAGGCCCAGCATTGTAGTCAGAGGAAACATCAAGTTACAAGACCCCCAAGAAGAGGGCTGGAGAGATGGCTCAGCGGTTAAGAACACTGTCTGCTCTTCCAAAGGTCCTGAGTTCAATTCCCAGCAACCACATGGTGGCTCACAACCATCTGTAATGAGGTCTGGTGCCCTCTTCTGGCCTGCAGGCATACACACAGACAGAATATTGTATACATAATAAATAAATAAATATTTTTAAAAAAAAAAAGACCCCAAGAAGAGAGTAAGCTGGGAGGAAGAAAACTGACAGACCAGGTTAGGGAAATTTAGGGAGAAAGTTCCAAGTGTGGGAGCAGGGAAGTAGACCCAAACTACAGTGGAAAGATTTTAGATTTTAAAAATCAAAAGCTCTTCTCTTTGTAAAAGTCTTACAGAATATTTAACTACTACTAATTTTTTTTATTTATCTAATTTGCTTGTATTTAACATCTGGAAAAGCATTAATTGGATTTGTAGCACAGGTTAATAAATTTATTTCTAAAGATATTTAAATCTTTGGAATCTTAAAGTAAGAATAATTTTTAAATTATACTTTAAGCTCTATTAAGCAGGTACTATATCAAAACTAATTAATCCCTTATGATCACTGGATTTTATTTCCTCTACTAATTGATAGCAATTAGTGGTTTACTTGAATTCAGTAAAAAGCATGCCTGATCTGATATGTGTCCTGAGGCTTGTTGTTTTAATCTTAATATATTAGCGAAAATAATTGCCTGAGTTACTTCCATAGGGATGGTATGATCGTATCTAGTTAGAAAAAGAGTGCATTGGTCTTTCCTGTTTAGAATCTGACAATCCTCTGTTTGGAACAGGCAACTCATGCCCGCCCTATAAGATCTAACCTGTGCTCAAGGCTTTACATCTTCTTAGCCCACATCACTTTTTTGTTATTTCTCTAGAATCTAGCATATCATTTTGGACCTTAAATATGTTCTTTGTTGAAAAATTTTTGCTTATAACTTTCTATTATTAATCCTAGTTGTGAAGTGACCTGCTCAGGGTCCCAAGTTAAATTGTGTGTTAGAGTATAAGAACACTGAAATAAGTGGACTGGTTCAAATGGAAGAGAGGAGGAGGTGAACCTCCCCTATGAAGTATCTACACATGTGTACAAAATGTGTGTGTGTGTGTGTGTCTGTAGATTATTTGGAGTAATAGAAAGTTACAAGTAAAATATATCACTCTAAATCTATCTAATGCAATCCTATGTCAAAACATGCAAATTGATAAGAGGAATAAATTACATTTAGAACACCATGTAGATTATCTCATTTGTATAAAATTAAAGGATATGTATCTATATCATGCTGTTAGACATATAAATTTAGCAAAAATAATTTGAAAGACTACACACTTCTATGGCATGAACACAGATTTGTAGGTTTGAAGTGTAATGAATGCAGACTTTCCCATAATGCCTTGGGTAACCCATTTTACTTGAAATTAACAAATCAGTATGTGCATTATATAGGTACTTAAGGCATTAGAACTATTAATGCCAAGAAGCTATAGAAAAATATAGAACATTAATATTATATTACACTTTAAGTGTAATTAATGAAATAGAAAATAAATTCAAATCATACACACATACATGTGCATATTGTAAAAATAAGTATGAAAATCTGAAAGAAGAGATAAAGCATTAGTGGATTATTTTCAAAGGCACCAAAATCTGGATAACATGCAATTTTCAAACTGTAAGATTCAGTACAAAGGTTATTTTTCAAATCAGATTTTTAAAAGGAGTTACATAATAGAAGAATGGTGTGGCCAATTTCTGATTATTATGTAATGGCATCTAAAAGTCATTTGGAAACATACCAACTTAATAATGTATATTTCTACTGTAATATGCTTGGTCTAGTGAAAAATGAAGGATTATTCCATAAACCTAGTGGTGTAAGAGAGGCATTTGGGAAAATAGAGCTTCAAATATTTTAGTAAGCAGTGTAGCCTGTGATTGGAGGGTGATGGAAAGATGTAGGGGCATATACAACATATATTTTAGCCAAATAATGGTCAATGTGGTAACTTTAAAACTTTGAAAATTTTCTTAGCAGGAAAATTTATTGGTTGAACAATATTCTCCAGAAGCCAGTCTATAAATTTCATTTTTGCTGTGAATGTTTATTTTGAGAAATGACAGCACATTAGTGACCCAACATGTCAGCCTGAGTATGCCCCCAAAGTAACCCAACTAAACCAAGTTCGTTTTCCTCTTTGATCCAGGTATGCCAGTGGAATTTTAGGGAAAGGGGAGTGGAGGTTTGCTGACTGAGGTTTCTGTCCCACCCAGTCCTGCAGTCATTCAGTCCCAAAGAAATACACAGAGGTCTACATTAATTATAAATTGGTTGGCCTATTCGCTCAGGCTTCTTATTAAGTCTTATAACTTATATTAACCCATAATTCTTTTTTTTTGAAGTGGATGATGTTGTTTTCAGAAAAAATAAGTTAGTTTTAAGATGTTCAAATGGTGCAACCAGGAGAAAGAAAAAGCGCCAGTTCATAAGGCTCTTTCTTTAAACTCAGATGGACAATTAGAAATCCTTGAATGCCGTGTAAACATGGAATCCAGGGCTGACGTTACGGACTCATTTCTTATGAAGAATTCAGCAGCTGATGATGATGCCCACCCACAGAAGAGCAAGCCCCAGAGAGCTGTCCTGTGGAGAGGAGGCTCACTCAGCACTTGCTTGATCCGTTCACCTGGGCTCATTGCCTGCTGCCCAGGATGTGGGTCCCTGAGGGCTTCTTCAGCATTTAACTAACTGTTGGTTGAAAGTGCTGGGACTGTTTCTCCAGACATACACTGATCTTTGTCATAAATAACTTTTATAATGAGAGAGCAGCTAGGACATGTTGCCACGTCTTCTTCATTCTCCAAATCGTCCTTGGTGATGGAGAAGTTGTCCCCACAGGGACAGGGGTAGAAATAAGTCTCCGAGTCCTCGTCATATTCAAAGTCCTCAATCTCCACTTCGTCGTGAAACACCGCCATGGTCACCGAGCAGAAACTGCATCAGTGGCCCCTAACTCCGCCGGGGCACAGAAGGTCTGGCGTCCCGACCCACCCAGCAGCAGGAACAATCCTTAGCCCATAATTCTTACCTGTGTTATTACTTTTTTTGGCGAGGTAGTCGCATCTTGCTGCTATCTTGCTTCCTTTGTGGCTGGGTCACGACTGCAGACTGATTCTTTTTCTTCCCAGAATTCTCCTGTTCTCATTGCCCTGCCTCTACTTTCTGCCTGGTTGCCCCACCTCTACTTCCTGTTTCGCTACGAAATACAAGTGACAGGGTACAGACCATTGTCCCACAGCAGAGGTGGCCTGTCTGCTTTTCATGGTCAGCATGAAGGCACTATGAGAAACTTCTCAGTGAAGTGACAGCTTACAGAGCCATCTTTAAATGAGTCACTGAACTGAGACAGGTGTTTTTTAATCACAAGTGGTGATTTAGAATCAAGCTTGTTGAAGTTAAGAATTCAGACAGGGAGTTAATATGTAGGATAACCCCCCCCCCCACCACCAATTTTCTGGTGTTTCAAATTGACTGAAATTAAGTAGCTTATTTACTGGGATTAAACATGAAATGCTGTGCTTTGCTCTGGCTTAGAATGTCAGCTGCAGAAATTTGAGGCTAAGGGAAAGGAAAGATGACAGAAAGAATCAGCTCAGGGGAGCACAGTGACCAGGACCACAAGGCAGGATGTTTAAATAGCTGTGATCCTAGTCTGTCTACATCTTATGTCACATAAGCAGTGAAAATTCGGGTCATATTTATGTAGAGCCCTGACAAACTTGAGCATAGAATATAGCAAGGTCAGGAATTATGTGAGAGGGAACTTTTAAAGCACTAGATTATCTAACCAAGAAGAGATAAAACTAAAGAGAATTGAGTATCTTCCATTTTTACTGTAGGCCACAGCTCCCCGGAACTCCTTTGGGCCAAGCACTGTTCTCTACATGTTCTGTCTTCATGTTCTTGTACATGCTCATCCTGACAGTGCTCTGCTGGGGCAGGCATCTTTATTCATTTCCCCTATCTTCTAGGTCTAGAGCACAAGCATGTCCAGTTATATCACTAGCTGTAGTTCCGCGCTGAGTAGGTGACAGGTCAAACTAGAACCTGAGCTGTTCTCATAGCCTCCACTCTAAACCTGCTGCTGGGAGCTCCAGGAGCAGAAATGGAACCCCAGTGCAGTTGGAATTGTTTCAAGGTAGCTCTCTATTGAAGAACTTTCAAATGTGCGCTGAAAGTCTATGAGAAAGTATGTTTCCCAGTGCCGAGCCTGTTCAAGTATGTGTTGGGAGGGTTGGTAAGGCATGTTTTGCATTTGGAGTTATCCCATTGTGAAGGTCCCTTCCATACTGAACATTCTGTGATTTTTCTGCTCATCTGGCCTCAGCTTCTCCATGAGAGACGCACACTAGTCGTGTGCCATGACGGAGTCTTTCCTTATGTATCTGCCTTACCACATTGTCTCATACACTTCCACCTATTTTCTCAGTTCCCATTCATATTCAAGTGTGACGTGCTTTCTACCATTTTGTCTTCCTTCTCTCCAAAGGTGAACGTTTAGACACCGTGATTATGGCATTTCTAGCCGAGCCCATGATTCTCTCACTGGGGCAGAGTAACCCCGCAGGGTGGTTAGCAAATAGGGTTGTGGAAGGCTCCTTATATTCCTCCTGGAGTGCTGGATTCGTGTGATTATTTTAACGGAAAGCATATGGTTTTACTATTGAAGTAATATTCATATTAAAACAAACATAGACTTTGCTGCTTTGTAAAATGCAAAATTCTCACAAAATTTTAATATGAAATTGAACATTTTCAACGAAGCTTTCAGTTTGCTTTCTGCTTAAGGCTGTGGCCTCAGGTCCTGCGGGAGGGGATGTGGGCATAAGTCATTTGTAGTGCTGGAAAAGTTTTTGGTGGCAAAGTTTCAGAAGCACTTCCCCAGTCAGTTCTTAAGTTTCATAATGAGGAAGTGGGAGAGTTGTGCCCTCTGGGCCTCAGTTTCCTTCGCCAGGCTTGGTTTGAGCCCCTCCCGAATAGAACACAACTAACTGGGAGCTGTAATGATGTTAGAAAGGCAGAGAACACGTGGGCCAAATGTGGGCCAGAGTGTACAGATGTGGAAGAGAAACATCAAACACATGGGATGAATACTCACAAATATCCTGTAAAGCCCAAGCTTCCATCAGGATTTCCTGTTTCTTTCCTGTATGAGCCACTGGAACAGAAAGACAATTCTAATTGTTCTTTCACGGACTACATTCATGTTGGAAACAAACAGCCAGTGAGGCATGCTAGGATTTCCTGAACCATGGAAATGCGTTTTTGGCAATTCTGTCTTATCTCTCTTTAATCTTCTATTTTATATCTTCCCTTTAGACTACAAAGCATTTAAAGAAAAATGTTGTTCTGCAGATAAACAAATGATCACAATTTTCAGAAAGAATAAGTGTTTGTTGTCAGTGACTGTGAAAAACAAACACCGGAGCCATTTCTAGCCAGGCCATAATCTGAATGATTGGAAACAAAATGTCTTGGCAACAAACACAGTGGCAGAGACAAACTGACCATTCTACAAGATACACAAATGGGAAGTTTTCAGTGAAGACCAGGTGGGACGAAGACCAGGTGGGACGTTGAAGGAGACTGTTTATTCTACTCTAAATAGAACACAGGAGGGAGAGTGGGGGGGGGGGTCCATTCATTCAGTGGCCTGGGTCATACAAAGAGGAGACATGTAGGCAGGGCCTAATCACAGATTGAGTTACTGGCTGGAGCAAAGGGACAGGGCCCCTGCTGTAACTAGAGAGAGATGGGGTGGCATGGGTCTTACCTCTCTTTATATGAGTGTGTTATAACACACTCATGAGGTCTTATAACTGGAGTCATGTCTTTTGAGATAGGGCAAATGTGTTTATCGAGACTAGAGAGTTAAAGGAGCAGAGGAGTTCATCTGAGTGGGTCTACTACATTACTTTGGTGTTTCCACAAAGAGCTGGCGAAACATTGTTAGGAAAAAATGTTTCTTCATTATTAGTCACCAAGAATTTGTGAGTCTCCCTAAAAATCTTTTCAAAATATAATTTTATGTAATTTTTAATTTCTAGATGTATATAATTTATTGTACATCCATTACAGTATACTGATTTTTTACTCTTTATATTCTATTTACTTCGTACTTTTTGGGGAAAAAAAAAACAAGCAAAAAATGTTTCACTTAGCTTTTCTTATATATTTGATTTTCTTGTTACTGTTTTTTTTATTTCCAGTACTGGCATAGAATCCATGCTTTCATGTATGCTAGGCAAGTTCTCTCTTACTGAACTACATCCCCAGACCTACAATTTATAACAAATGGTTTTCCTCTGGCACATACTGTCCCTACAGGCTTCAGGATATGAACTCTATTCCTGGTCATGAATTGTCAAAATCAGAGATCCAAGTAGCGAGGATACAGGCATTGGTCATTGACAAGGCCAAGTGTCTGGGTGTGGAGACAGGTTTTGTGAAAGTCAGCACATTCTGTCTTCCTTTTGTTTGTGTATGTTGTTAAAAGATAGGGGAGTGGCTGAGGTTTTTTTCTACCGAGATTAAAGACTGATAAAAAGAACAGGAATTAAGTGGGCAAGGGTGAAGACAGTGACCAGAATATGGACTATATCTGTTTCACTTTAGGGGTAATTCATTTAATATTTCTTCCTGGGTAGTAACATGGCTAACTCACTCTTTGCATTGTCTTGTTTGGTTAAAATGTGAACATGAGTCAGTGTTTTCTCATTTATTAATTCATGTTTTAAGAAGAAATGCTCTGAATTAACCATTGTTCCAAAGGATCAGGATATAGCAATGAAGAATTTCTTCCTTTGAAAATTCAGTAACTTAATATGAGGCAGTGACCTTTGTTTTCAAGATCCATAAAGTTGGCTGTTCTGACTGTGAGTGGAGAGCTGTTTTAAAGAGAGTCATTTTTACATAGATTGACAACTGAGGACTCTAATGAACCCATACTTGAATTAGGACCAGAAGGATGTGAAGAAAGAACCTTCCTGAGGCTGGAGTGGAGTGAGCTGAGGGAGGTTGGCAGGAATGAAGTTGGAGAGGGCAAATCCTATTCAGTGATACAACAGACTATGGGAGTTTGGATTTCATTTGGGGTATGAGAAACCATGGGAGCATTTGAGCAAGGGCTGCCTTCTCTAGTTTTCAGATATTTCTGTGCCTACTGTAGTGGAGGCAGGTTAGAAGTGCATTGGGAGATGGTAGCAGGAGTCTGTCAAGAGAGCAGTGTATTATATTAGTCAGGGATCTTGCTGTGATAAAATGCCATAACCAAAAACAACTTGGTGCAGGGGGGGCAGGTTTATTACAGCTTATACTTCTATGTTGTTGTTTACCAATGAAGGAAATCAGGTCAGGAACTCAAACAGGACAGGAACCTGGAGGCAGGAGCTGATCCAGAGGCCATGGGATGAGATGCTTACTGGCTTACAGCTCATGGCTTGCTCAGCCTGCTTTCTTATGGAACCCAGGACTTTCCAGTGGGGGGCAGCACCACCCATGATGGTTTGGGCCCCCTCACATCAATAGCTAACAAAGAAAATGCTCCACAGAACAATCTGCTAAAGACATTTCTCAATAATTGTTTCTTCCCAAGTGATTCTAGACTGAATTAAGTTATCAAAGAAGCTAACACAACTACCATGGCCGGGACCATGTAGGAGTAGTGGGGCAATGACACGTAGTCACAGTGGGGATCTGTATGGCAGCAGGATTTGTCAGTACTTATGGAATGGAAGTTAGATGGGACTAGGTTTTTTCCACTAGGCAACTGGATTAGTGGTTGTGACAGACATTGAATTAATAGTACATAGAGAGAAAGTTCCAAAACTGAACCCAAGGCCATGACAACAGTTAGAGATGGGAAAGAGGTAGGCACAGCAACAGAAGAATCTTAGAAGGGACAGCCTGCGAGGTGACAGGAGAATTCAAGTATGATTGCATGGAGCACACACAAGTGTCCCCTCAAGGAAAGGGAAGTGAGTAGCCTTTTGTTTCAGGCTTTGCC